TTTACAGGTCCCAAACTTGTTTCTTACTCCATAATTTAATGCTTACTCAGTTGACAAAGCTTTAATCCAAGCCCTAGAATCTTTACCCAAGTTGTAATTCCATAAATGGCATAAAGTGGCCATTGCCATTTTGAAAAAGCTTCACTTTTGCAAACTTTACAAATCTTGAGCATTGAACCTGTCTCCTTTGCACATACAAGTACCATAGACCTAAGGCAACTTATATAGAACTTATACCAACACTAAACAAGCCAGTACAAGCAGGTAAAGCCTTGTCCCTTCACTTTGCTTCAAAAGCAAGAAAGTGTGCCAAAAGGCTAGGACTCACAAATCTGTTGGAGAGCTGACTTGAAACCTTTTCCATACTAATATACAAACACATTCAACTAGAAACATGATTGCTGGAGGCCTGAAACACTCCCAAACTCCCTTTCACCAAAAACCTTGCAGTTTTTGCATAAGCTTAACAATCCATCATTTGGCTCGTGCGTTTCAAGTCTTAACCATCAAAACACTTTACCTACTTGATATCTAACTGATCCAGACCCTCATCCATGTACTGTAACTCCTTCTCCATCATCTGCCATTTTTGTTTTCAAAGCTTGCAGGTTGACTTGGATAGAGATTTCCAGGCACTTCCAAAGCAAGGCAAGGATTGGAACACACTCAGGGAGGTTCAAGCAAGCTCAAGCAATCATCAGGCTTTCATAAAACTCACTCCAACTCTATCCACGATTTCAACTGAAAGAGGTAAAAAATTTAACTTCAATCTCTTCATACAGGCATCCATTCGCCACAATTTATGAATAAACAATGTAGACCTCATTGTTACAAAGTTGTACATGTATATATCTTGCATTTATTTGGCCTGAGTTAAGATAATTTTGAAGTTCAAATTCCTGTAAAAATTAGATTTAGATTTAGGGCTTTTAAAATTCATCTTAATCTTTGATTGTTAGCTTACATGATTTATATGGTTAGAATCGTGAGACAAAATGCTACAACATTCATGTTATGAGTTTTCATTTTCATGGAGAAATGAGAAAGTTACAGAGCATCTGGCTGGCTAGAGGAAGAAGATGAAGTACAGGGCCATGAAAGCGTTTCATGTTATGTTATTTTTGTTTCACTTTAATCAACGGATGTATAGCCACTCCAGTGGCAAGGTAGCGCGCTGGTGAGACTCATGTCCTGGGTTCGAACCTTGGCGCTACCTTTTGTTTTTTTTACATTTTTCCATTTTTCAGTTTTTGGCTTGTTTTGCAGGATTGGGCCTCCACGCTGGGCCTTGTTTTTTTTCTAACTTTCACCACTTGATTGCTCAGAGCACCCCCTGGCCCAACTATTTTTTTATTTTTTTATTTTATTTGTTTTATTTTCATTTTTGTTTATTAAATATTTTCTTTAATGTATAAAAATCCTAAAAAATATAAATATGATGATATTGTATTTTATTTTATTTTATTTTTCACATAAAAAATATATTTTATCTTAGTTATATATATTAATCATTTTTCTTAATAAACTTGTAAACATAAATAAAATAGGTTTAGATTAGTTTGTTTTGTTTTATTTTCATTCCATATTTGTAAATATTTATTTTAGAATGTGAAAATTAAATATTTCCTTACAATATTATTTATTATTTTTTACAAAAATACACAAAAAATAATACATAAGAACTTTATTTTCTTTTTAAGCTAGAAATTAGGGTTAATCCTTTTTAAGAATTAATTTCTTTTCCTTATATTTTTAGGATTAGGTTAAATTCCCTTTTCATATAAGAAAATAAAACAAAAATCTTTTCTTGCATGTACATAATATGGCACATTTAAATATTGTATATTGTTTATTTTAATATTCATACAAATTCGATTTGGTTGTAATAATTTATTTAGATTTACATTCTTGCAAATCCACATTCAAATTTGTATTCCCCTCTCCCATAAATTGTTGTAATAGCTTAGTAATCTTTATATTATGCAATTTACCGCTTTACATGCCATGATTAGTAATTAGGGTTTGTATGGTAAGATCAATACAAAGCAAATAGAAAACCCTAATGCAAGATAAAATCAAAGCATGAAAATAACACACTTGCACACAAGCATCCTTAGGGTTTCTCCACTTGGTTGCCTTATATAAAAATAGCCATATTACGCATGCGAAGTATCTTGGCAAAACAAACAAATATAAGATCATAGTCCCTCGATGACGCTATTCAAGGTTGCCTTATAAAATGATCTTGGTCCTCAAAATGCTAAGATACTTTGAAACATTACTAATACGATGACCCACGCCCGTCCCGCTTACATCCAGAGATAGGGTTGCTTACCAAATCAATGGTAAGACAACAATGCCAAAGGAATAGAAAATGCATAAGAAAGACATTTTGAGTAGGTAGATTACTTCTAGTTACTTTCTCTATCTCCAAACAACTATCCTTGCTATTTTCCAAAACAAACACACACATTTCAAAAACATATTACAAACATTGAAAACATTTTCAAAAGACAAACATCTTTGTATACATTCTTACGAACGAGAATCATTACAAAGGTTGCCTAAACAATGGCCTCTTTTACAAAATACTTTCAAAAACCACACAAAGCACAATTTCAAAACAAAAAGCAAGTGATCTAGCAAGTGACTAAGATCCCATGGAAAACCATGGATGAAAAGGGTGTTAATACCTTCCCTTTTCATAATCTACCCCCCGAACTCAAGAAACAATCTCAAAGGTCTTTCCTGTGCTTTTTCACCTTTCCTTTTGGATAAAAGAAAAGTCGGTGGCGACTCTTGCTAACCGCGACATTTGCGATCAATTACAAAACCCTCAAGTCAGTTCTCCCACCGTATCACAATGTGTTCAAAGGGTTTTTTATGATCAAGGTGTAGTTAATGTGAAAGATGAAACAATGGCTTGTGTTTCAGAATTGCAATTTGGAAGTAATGGAAGTTGAAAGATTAATAATGACTTGTGTTTTAGAATTGCAGAAAAAAAGGAGAATATGGTCAATCTTATCAAGAGACTTAAACAATGTGTAAGGTGTTATGTCCATGTCATTACGTTACGTGCCACCTGGAAGCTATTTTCTAACTTTGGCTAATGTCCATTAACAGATGGACAAACATGTTTCAAAAATTAAAGGGCCAATGTGACATGAAAAAAAATTAAGGGACCAATCTAACCCCAAGGATATTGTTAAGAGCCAAAAAATATATATATTTTGATTTTTTAATGTTGAATAGGAAGCTGAAAAAAAACAATTCATGTTAAACAATGTTGCATATCTTCAAGTTCCACTTCAAGTACAAGTTCAAAATCATGATGAAACTGAAAATCAAGTACTTATTCATGAGTCTCTAATGAAGTTCCAGTTCATTTCATAGTTCTAGTTCATGTTCAAGGAAATGCAATCTTTACTATGACAATACCATTTCAAGTTCAAATTACTGTTTAAGATATCCAACCTCAACTTCATGAGTCTAACCATTTCATTAAGAAATAAGAAACATGAAGAAAGGTGGAAAACCTCTTGCACAATTTGTAATTAAATTGAAACCTCAACTTCAAGTTTCTGGTCTTGCACAATTTGCAAAACTCAAACCCCCAACATAATGTTTTTGATCATGCACAATTTGTAAAACCCCAATTGCAAGTTTCTGCTCCTGCACATGTTGACATGTTGTATAATCTAAGAAGCCAAAATCTGTAGCTAGAAAACTTGATTTGAGTTAAGTGAGAAAAAGTGACATAAATTTTGCTACAACTTTAAAAAAAGAGGAACCTAGAAGAGATAAAGAAAAAATAATTGAGTTATTATATGATAATGATGGTGGTGTTGGAACGGTGACTTGACACAAGAAGTAGAATCCAAAATTGAAAGTTGTTTATGCATCCTTAGAGCATATTTAATGGGATGAACTATAAAAAAAATTAAATTGAGTCAATTAAGTCACTTTTTGTGGGACCAAAATGTTACGTAGGATTTAAAAAATATTTAGTTATTTTTATTCCAATGGTAGTTGCTTATAAATAATTGAAACTTGACCCCACATATTTAATATTAATTAGTGAGTACAATTTATTTCATTATTTTAATTTCATTTAATGTGAAAATTGAGTTAGTTTCGGTTGGCTCTACCGTAAGTTATAACTACTGCCATGTAGATGTATTCCAATGTTGGTGAACTATAAATACAGTAAAAATACAACAAACCAACTCTTTAATTCACCCACGTTAAAGTTGCTCCTTTTCTTACAGTAAACATCGTCATACAATAGATGATACAAAAGGAGTACAAGTAAATTGACAAACAATGAGTAAGGGCATTTCCCATCCTCAAACTAAATTCAACACTAATAGCTAAGTCTACAAAGAGTTGGCCAACAATAAACTTTGAGAAATTAGAATCCAATGGATTATCACCAATCAAATTTCTTAATCCAAGCAACCAAGCAACATTCATTCACAAAAGATAAAAGAGTTTTGGAACCATAATACTAAAGTATATCTAGTTACAAATCATTTCTTTGGCTTTATCATGCATAATTCAATTATACAGGCTCTCTGGATTGATTAAAATCGCCATCTCTAAAAGAAGCCTTTGTTGAAAGGAAGAGAAAGTCTGATTAGATACCACACTTAGATTTTTACTCCAAAATCCATTTTCTCATTTCATCAAACACCTTGAAGACACACTTAAAATAGGCTAAACAAAAGCACAACACATAACTAAAGCAAAACACTTACAATGAGATGCCAATATACACAAAATAAGATACTCCAAAAAATAAAACACTTTGAGACATATTGTCAAACACCAAGAGTGCAAACTTAGATCCCAAAAGACAATAACACAAGACAAAAAAACACAAAACTAAAATTAGAAAAATGGAAAAGAGAAAGTAATCGAAAACCGTAGATAGACCATATCGACTTTGGAGATGGGCGAATGGTTAACAACTTAAAAGGTGTGGCAGCAGCCAGTGGTGGCTACATCAGCATAAGGAGCTTTGGAGATGAACGGATGGTTGACAACTTTGAAGGTGTGAAAACAACTGGTGGTGGTGGTGGCTCTGGTGATGGCCGCTTCAGCAAAAGGAAGGGTTTGGCGGTGGTTAGTGGTAATGAGAGAGGGTATTCGATGAGTGATTTGTTTAGAGCATGAAAATGTAGTTGAGTGGAAAAGGTAAAGCTCTCCATATAGGAGGGTTTGACCTTAATACTTATGGTGTTGCAATGACATCTTATTATTAGGCTAAGATCTTTCATTTTGTTAATGTGTGATCATATATGTTTCATCTATGGTTATGTTTGATTAAACAATACCATCTTTTATAAGTATATACAGCTTGAACACTTAGTTTAATCATTTTGTTTATGTATGATGAAACATATTTCATCTTTTTTTTTATAAAAGGGAGGGTCTAATCCCCAAAAAAAAGAAACTATAACAGAATAACTCTCGGAATTGTAACATCTACCAAGTCTTGAACAAACAAAGAAAATAATACATTAGGACAATTCTCATAAACATGATAACTATTATTTCCATGAAGACGTCTGTATCTGAAAACGTGAATGAAATTAACAGCGATGACCTTCTTTATAAGTAATTGTTAACAAAATACAATTTAATCAAGAGGTGACCATTTTCATTCATAATCATAACACAAATAAATTACATCATTACTAAACTTAACCTTACATTGTTGATAATGAAATTACGTTACACGAGATAATAGAAAACAAGACAAAAATGCAACTAATAAGAAGAAACTCCTTTATTTAATTAACATCTGAACAAAATTTATATCCAGTTCTTTAGTTGTGATTCTTACTATTTTTTGATAAAAATATGATAAATATACTTAAATATCATTTAAGAAGTGAAATTAAAAATAATTTAAAAATTATACAGTTATCATATATTTATTGAAAAATAGTAAGAAACACACTTAAGTTTTTTTTCCTTAACCTTCGTCACCATCCTTAATTTTGTCTTCAATTTAAAAATCTTTATAACCCAATTCTCGTGCTTAATTCTAGTGTAGTTACCCTTAATAATTTCATGAGACTTTCTTACATTTTTAATTTCTTATGTTTTGGACTGAACAAAAGCATCACCATTAATGATGTGAAAGTGATGCGACACAACCTTCAATAACTATCTTTTCATCATAAATTTATAGCTTATTTTAGTAATTTATATTTTATTTTTCTAAATATTATTTTAAATAATATTTTAGTTTATAATTTATAACTTATCATTTTTCTTTCATTTTTGTCCTTATTATTTTAAGTGAAACTCACAACTATCCTGTATAATTTATTTTAATTTAAAATAAACAATTTATGTCATTTTAAATTATCAGTTATTTGAATCATTAATTTTATCAAACACTTCAATTAATTTATTAATTATAAATCGTCAATCATAAATTATAAATTACAAATTTTATGTCATTAGTCATCAATCATACACTACAAACTATCAACAATTAAGTAATATCTAAAAAGTAATGTTATTTGAATTGGAAAAATAATTTTATTCTTTTTCGTTCATCTGGATTCAAGTGAATTTTGTTAACTCATCTAGATTCATGGATAGATGTGAACATATCTATGAGATACCAACGGTAGTCTGGTCATTTTAATGTCCGTTTTTTAACTATTTCTTTTGTTGTTGTTATATATAATTGAAGTTATATAAATGATTAAATTATATTAGCTTATCATTGATATATATATATATATATATATATATAAAGAAACTTTACAAATCAAAATTAGATACATGTCATGTTCGTACAATTATATTTTTAAAAGGGAGTAAGTTACAAATATTTTTATAAAGGTGAAAAGTATACTATTGATACAATTTTTTTTATAATCGGGAATAACTTAAAAATATTTTTATAAACAAAACAAATATATTGTTGATACAATTATTTTTATAAACAGGAATAAATTGTAAATGTTACTTTCAATTAAAAAAGTCTACTATGGATAATGTGTAATTGTATGTCAAAGCGGGTGGATGTGAACGTATCTATGAGATGTCAGCGGTAGACTATTCATTTTAATGACAATCTCTAAAAAAATTCGTTGGTGTTTATATATTGAAGTTAAAGAATCGATTGTACGAATTATTATAATTACGAATCAATTTTTAAAAGTTAGTGCATATTATTAGTCCATATTTATAACTATGTGAATGTCAACTAATTAAAAATTTAATTTATATTTTATAAATGATGGTCTGATAGACACGTAATGTCAATTTAGACAAGACCCATGCGATATCACAGATTTCTCACTAGTTATAACTTATAGTTTATAAGCTGATATAACAATAAAATACTGTTTAATAACTATGTTTTCATCATAAATTTATAGCTTATTTTACTAACTTATAATTTATTTTTCTAGACACTATTTTAAATAATATTTTAGTTTATAATTTATAATTTATCATTTTTTCTTTCATTTTTATCCTTATTATTTTAAGTAAAACTCACAACTACACTGTATAATTTATTTTAATTTAAAATAAACAATTATCTATTAAAATATTTTTTATCATTTTAAATTATTAATTAATCAAACCATCAATTTTATCAAATACTTCAATTAATTTATTAATTATAAATCGTCAATCATCAATTATAAATTCCAAATTTTCTATCATTAATCATCAATCATACACTACAAACTATCAACAATTCAGTTTATTAAACTATAAACTATAAGTTATCTTCAATTCCATTTAGTAAATTTCAATATCTCATACTCTCATCGAGTATGAGAAACTTAAAATATGTTTGATTTGATTTTAAATTTTAGTTTTTGAATATTTTTTTGCAAATCAATTTTTAAAAACTACTTTAAGAAATAAAATTGAAAAAATATGGTTGGTAATTTTAGTTTTGAAAATTTGTTTAAAGATAAAAAACTAAAACCTTATTTGGTAAATTTATTTTCAAAATAAGTTTTGAAAAGTAAATTACTTAAAACAATTATTTTACTCATATTTTATTTTTTTATTAATTATTTCTTTTAATATATCATCTTTCTATTTGAGTGTAAATAAGAAAGTTAAATATTCTTTTAGATTAAAAGTAAGTAAAAAAAATTTTGTCTTTAATTTATTTAATTTAAATCTTAATTTGGACTTTAAAATAATTACATAGACCAATATCCCCCTCAAATAACTTACAATATTATGTTTTTCAATAGCATAAACACTAATAATTTCTTAGGTCAACTTCGGTTGAATTATTATGTATTATTTAATGATAATTCATGTATTTATGTTAGGAGTATAAAAAATTAAAAATATAAATCAAACTCAGATAGTATTTAAAGAATTCATCTTTAATAAAAAAACTCTTTTTTTATTAGAGCTCAAATACTTCATTATTAGAAAGTGTTTTTTAATAAAAGAGTAAAAAATATTAAAGTTAATACCAAAAAAATATAAATCAAAGGTTATTATAATTACAATTTTGTCATTAATGAAATTGCTACCTGTAGTTCTACGTGTTTTTAGAGTTTTTAAAATAGAAAATAAAAAAGCAAAAATCACTTTAGTATTTTGTTTTTAAAATTTTAAAACCTAAAATAAAAAATAATTTCTAAAAATAATTTTACGAAATTCTATATTAAACAAATTTTAAAATTTAAAATTTAAAAAAATAAAATGCTATTTTTAAAAATAGAATTAAACATACCATTAATTTTGCAAAAAGAGGACTTTCCGATTTCAAGATCTCCATATTATTGTGCACTATTGCTACATCTTCAATGATGATGCCATATTGTAAAATAATTGGGCAAAAAAAATGTAAAAGATATTAAAAAAAAAAAAGAGGTTGAAATCCAATTTAAAAATAAACTAAAAAACTAAGTAATTTAAAAGTTGTTACATTAGATTTTGATTAATCCGGTAGAGTCAAGTAGATTAACTTTTTTTTATTAAATTAAAAAGAAAAATATATATTTAATTTAATATTTGGTTGGATAAAATGTAACATTAATGATGTTGCATCTCATTCTCCTTTGCTAGGAGCTTGTGGTGGTATTTTTAAGGATGAAAAGATTAAAAATTTTCTAAGTTTCAGTGTTTTTTTTTGGACGAAGACACACTTATTTTTGCTGAATTCATAGCAGTAATCATTGCCATTGGGAAAGTCAAGGAGTTGTAGTGGTCTAAAATTTAGATTGAATTCGATTGTATGTGTATTATGAAAATTTTCACGGATTGTTCTTTGGTGTTTTAGAAAATCAAATTTCGTTGACTAACGTATTCGACTTATACTGTCAATATTAATTTCATGATAACTCATATTTTTAGAGAGACTAATTTTTATGCAGATTTCTTAACGAATTTAGGCTTAAAGAGAAATGCTCTCACTTAATATAATTTTATTCATAATAATATAATTTCAATTTATTTATTAGACATGGGGGTACTCCTAAAATTAGAATAGGCTTTTAAAAGGTTTTGATTTAGAGGTTTTGGTTTAGTCCCTTATATTCCTTGTGAGCTTTGTTTTAATATATTTTTAGTTTATTAAGAAAAAAAGGTAATCTATCTTAATAATCATGAGTTATCAAATATGTACACATCTCATAATAGAAATTTCAAACATTAATTTCTCATGTTGTTATTGTTTTGGTTAATTCAAATTCATTCTAAACAAACTTAGTTTTACAAAACAAAGTTCAATAAAATTTAATTTAGCAAACTTTAATTAAACATATCCCAAATTACACCACTTACCATTTCAATAACCAAAGTGCTCATTTTCTTTCATTAAAATATCATAGGAAAACCACCCAACCCATGAAAAGCAAAAACACAATCTTAAAAGTTAAACCATTCATAATAGTATAATCAATGAACAAAACAAAACAACCTTAATTGTCACATATCACTTTCCATTATGCTCAAACACCTATTTGCTTTTACCCAGCAATTAGCAGTAAAAAAAATTCCTAACAGAGACATCCCGTCTGGTTGTGAATACTGATACAGCGATATAGATAATAATTTTAGATAATAATTTACCAAAAACAGATAAATTAAATGTAATTCCAGATTTCAGTAAGTATCCGATACCGACACTAAGACGGACATAAATACGTAACAGATTCTTATAAATAGGCGCGCACATCAGACGTAGCAACGACCAAAGCTTCACCGGAAACTGTCTCAGACGGTATCATCATGAGTGGTCCGTCGCGAGAAGAGGAATCAAAGGTAGACG